GAAGTTTTTCCTTATGTCCAGTCTGAAGTGGTCTTCAGTCGGTTTGTGCCCACTGTTTCTTGTCCTCTCCTGGGAGGCCTTGGTGAACAGATGCTCCCCCAGGCCCTGATGTATGCCCATAATATACTTACAGGCTGCCTCTAATCATGAGCATGACCCTCCTTTGGACTGTCTAAAGCTTCTCCACATCCTTCCTGAAGTGTGGAACCCAGAAATGAACTCCCCCCACCTGGCAGCTACAAATTCATGGGCTCCCCTGCTCGGACCCTGGGATGGGGACCCTCTCCCTGATCCTGGGGTCCTTGTAGACATCTAGAAACTGTGTATGCAGCTGGGCTGCACATATGGCTTTTATTGTACCTGGTATGCTGGGACCCTAGGATTGGGGAGAGACTGCCAGGTACAGCCCAGCTTCACGTGCCATTTTGTGACATCCTGGCACATGGGGACCCCAGGACCAGTGAGAGGCTCCCCAAAACCAGGAAGTGTAAAAACCTACTGCCCCAGGAAATGTAAAAACCATGTGTGTAACCCAGCCCCTGTGGGGCAAGATAGTTAATGTATCAGATCACTGAGAACAGCTGGGCTTCCCACAACCTGGCATTATAAAGTGCCTTGCCCACGGGGGCTGCAGGGCAAGGCAGTGAAGACTGTTGGGTGCAGGGGTTGCCAAGTTCCTGGGAACTCACCTTCACAGAACCTCATTTTTGGCACTGGGACTGGGGTTGTCCTGGTCCTGATGCCAACCCCCATCCCAGTGTCAATGCCGACTGCATCAAGATAGGAAGAATTTATGTTGCCATACAGGTGCATTACAAAGCTGTTCCACATATTTTGTGGAACATCTTTGTGGCTTGTGTGCCACTTTGAGGCACCATAAATTGGCTGCATGTGTAGCACTGTTACTATTAATAAGTTAACTGCACTACAAATGTAATGTGCGACAGGGGCCTTTCAATGGTAATAAAAACACATGCAAATAGTCAAACTGAAGTAAATGAAGACAACTCGGAGGAGATACTATTTGCTGAAGATTGCAGAAGCAGGCCATCAGTTAGCTGGTAAAGATCTTGATAAATTATCCCATTTCTGTCAGTAATAAAATAATGAATGCCTTCAGTGAATGCAGACTCAGGCCCATGGTTAGAATTGTTATGTTTCACTACAGTGAAATGAGAATTTCTCTCTCATTCACTGGGGTCATGATGAAAGCATATTCTTTACAATTCTAGTTTTAAAAATTGTACTTCTCTTACTGCTCCAGGGACTCTTCATGCATTTTATCTAATCATTGTTTCATGTAAAACACTTATACGGATCTTGGAACAGAACCTATGCAAGTACCCTAGCCACTAGGCTACAGAATTCTGCTTACTCTTGCCTTATCCTACGAGAGAGAGCACTGAACCGAAGATTCAATGAATCTTGAATTGTTTTTCACACGGTGGAACCCCTGAAAAAAATTGGAGAATGCCTACATCTGGCTGGTGATTAGGGCACTCACCAGGGAAGGGCAAAAGTATGTTCGAACCCCTCAGTCGAAGGAGGGAATTGGACTTGGGTCTCTCCCCTGCCAGTTTTTAAATGAGGAGTTTCTCTGGCTCTCTTGTTGAAAGGGATGTTATAGACATCCATATTTAGGTGGGGGTTCCAGGGTATGGGTCCCAAGTGAACAGGGTTTCCCCAATTCTGTCGTTTTTCTGTTGACTAGCTTCAGATAACTGCATGGTGAGCACACTTACTTTAGTCATCTCTCCTATTTTCATGCTGGTTATCTTGGATCCCGTTCTGAAGTTGCTACCTTCCTTGTCTCTTGTACAAGTAGCTTAGGTTGCCTGACAAATACAGGATTCTGGAGTTCATAGTAGAATAAAATGCCTACAAATTTAGCTGTATGGTGCTCATGGTTGTGGCACTCAGGTAATTTTTTTGGCTCTTGCTTTTTATCTAAAAAATAAATCCCCATTTTTACTATAATACTAGACAGTATCTTGAACTTGTTTATGTTGTGGCTGAAGATTAAGAGTAGAGTTTTAACTCATATGGCTATTGTTTTTTCTATACTAAAATGTTACCAAGATAACTCAGGGCTTCTTGCTGCTGTTTATTTTTCTAATGATGCCTGGGGGTCTACCATGTAACTCATTGGTATTCATTGTTTTCCTTGTAAATTCCCAGCATGGTTATGGGAAAAGAAATCTCATTATTTTTACTGTACTGTTTATTCTGCTTAGAGCAGAAAACCATATTTAAATCTCACTAATCATAATCCTTAAGAGTAAAAACATAACGCAGTTTAATCTACATGTTAAAGTACTATCAGAATGTTCCTTATAGATTATAAGCAACATTAAGCATTTTCTTTGTTTTTCTTCATACACTAATTAATTTATAACAACTTCTGTTGATAGATTCAAAGATAGATTCAGAGCCCAGATCCTCAAAGACATTTAATGATCTAACTCTTGTTGATTTCAATGAGATGTAGTCACCTTAATAGCTGTAAGGAATTGGGATGGAGAAATTAAGTTATCTGTCTACTCCAATAAGATACTCTTATTGAAGATGGGCATATATTTGTCAGATTTCAGTATATTTGCCAACTGCCAGTTCTATTGATAACAAATCCTGGCATGTGAAAAATTGGCAAAAGTGCATCTAAGGATCCTAAAAGGTTACGCTGGGGCCTATTTCTTTAAATAGGATGCATTACATTATTGATTCGCTATTCTACTATCAAATTCAGACAGCAAGAGTTAGTAGTTCACAGCCTTTGTTTTTAGCAGAAACACAGTAGGTTTTTCTCACTAAAGTTAGATGTGCATTTGCACTGTGAGAGTATTCTAAGTGTGCGTTCAATATTTAGCGACTGTTGCCTTTGCAATATATATAATTCTCCTGTAGCTGGAGTCTTTCCTTTACTGTGGCCACATACAGATGTTACATTTCTACCAGGAGAATTGCCACTCTCCCAGTAGAAATTACAGGCATGCAGGTGCTCATTCAGTTCTTTGCAGAGGAAACATGCCCCATCTATGAGAGAGACCTTTTACCTTGACACTTGGAAGATCTCCCTTGCATGAGAGTTTCTCTTGATAGAATGAACTTCTGTACATTCAACTGCTCTGTGATCAGGAGCTGTCCAGTTATAGTTTCTCTCCACCTTTCCCAGACCAGGAAAGAGTGCTTCTCTGTACTCGGGAGGAGTGCAGCTGCTGCTGCTCTTAGTCCTCCCTGACTGGGGAGTCCTGCAATTGAGGGGACTCTCAGCTCCAGCAACTACTGACTCTGGGTCCTGGCAGCACCCCACACTGCCAGGAGTTAGTATCCTGAAGCTGCAGACACTTGGTCCCAGCACTGCGTCTCCCAGTGCCAGGACCCAGATAGGTCCTGGCAGCCATGGGACATGGTTAGTCTCCCAGCCCTGGGGAATGCATAGAGTCCCCAAGCCTAGGAGATCACAACTGCTATGGTCTTCCAGCCTCAGGGGCTCCCTGCACTCCTGAGGTTGGGAGCTAGCAGCAGCTGCAGTCTTCCAGTCCTGGGGGCTTCATGCACACTTAACTCTGGGATATCATGGCTGCCTCAGTCTCCCAGTTCTAGGGGTGCATGAGGTGTACCCATGGCTTAGAGCCTGTCAACTGAGGGGGTTCCCACCTGTGGGAGCTTGCTTTTTGCTGGTACAGGGAAGCCTAGGATTGGGCTCCCCATGCACCAGCCCCAAAGCACAATGGGATTGAATGGGTGATCCCATAATCACACCTCCTGCCATGCACTGGATTTCATCTCATTATATCTCATTGTGCCTTTACCGGCATGTGTAGAGGGGTCTGAGTCCAAGTTGAAGGAGGCACATAACACATTTATGGGCATGGCTTAAACCCTAATCTTCCTTTTCAGAGTATTTCCTGCTGACTGGCATGGGCAGCTTTCCTACAGTCTCCCTCATTGTTTACTTTGTGAATCCATTCTTAGATGCCTAACTCACCTTCCATGAGGCAAGACGCACACTGGTTAAATGTTGCCATGCTGAGCAGCGTTACACTTAACTCCTTTTGTTTATTACCTCTTTCTAGTCTTAAATTTTAACCAAACGATTCCTACTCCCTTGTGAGACTTATGGTACTGGTATGGCTGGAGTATCAGTCAGATCCTTTACTAAACTGAATCATAGATTTTCAAAACAAAAAATGGGTTCTTTTTCTTTGCCTTGTGAATTGAGTCCTTAGGATTCATATTTTCTCTATAGCCAGAAAAAACCCGAATGCCAAGATTTCATGTGATCTTCTTACTTCAGAAACTACAGCTTTAAGAAACCTACCATATATTATGTGACACATGATAAAACTCACCTTTGGGAACATTGCCATAGAGTAATTTCTCGTGGAATGATGTTCATAGGGGGAGGGGGAAATAAGGGAAATTAGAGAGCAGCTTTAGAATTATAGAGAAGAGAAGGAAAAAAATTTTGAATTCTGCTTCTCTACTCCTTTGAAATATTTCAGGCTAGCTGTAGCATTTGCTTCATTGCACAATAAGCTTAACATTTCCATGCAGTGTAAGCAAGTAATATCTTCAGTATTCCTGCAGTTGTTATTCATCACGTTCTTGCTGGCTCAGATGCATTGTGGATATCTCAGAGTGAACTATGGTAGTCTGTTTTGAACTCTTGGGAATTTTTGAATGCTAGTAATATAAAGCTAACTTACTGTATGTATGCTTGTAGGAGCCTCACCATGAGGATTTCCCTGAAGAGTGGCAGCAGAAAATGAGTGAATTCCAGAGGATGCTTGTCATTCGCTGCTTGAGGCCTGACAAAGTAGGTATAGAAATGCAGAAACTTTGAAGTATTGGATATTATCCAGTGCAATCCAGCATTTCCATCTTTCCGCTTAGAAATTGTATGGATCTTTATATCACTGTTTCTATAAACAGCGGTCTGGTGTCCTTCAATAATTCAGTTTTTACCTGTAACCTTAGGGAAGTGGGACTCTGGTAGAGGAATTAGTTCAAACAGAATGGTAAATGCTTCTGTTTCAAAGCTGGTTTCATTAGAGGCAGCACATCGTATTTCTTTACGAATTTTTCTGAGTGGAAGGTTATTTATCTCTTTTTGTAACATTTGTACTCCTCTTGCATCTCCTTTTATATTCCCTTCAGTGAATAGAAGAACTTCCTTAGTTTCTGAAAAAAGTTAAAAGCAGCAACTTATTAGGCTGTGATGGGTTTGTTTGTTTTTTTTGGCAGTTATGGCATTTTACGGTTGCTTACGAACATGTTATCAGTTACCTCTCTCAGATTGGGTCCCAGTATACAAGCATGTGTCAGAAAGAAATGGTCATTTCAAAATAAAACAATTGTGTGTGCTGTGATCATTTCCTGGACCACATCACTTCTCTACTTGGTCATAAATAGGCTTAGCAGAATTTGATTTTTATGTTTTTATAATTTCAACAGCTAAAATCAATGTTTATTTTTAAGCCTTTATTTTAATTTTTATTGATTTAAATTTTCCAGATTGTATGAAATTAGGGATGTGGAGGCAGACAATTTAATAATGACAGCATACTGTCAAAAGCTTTATAAAATCAGATGTCAAAATATAAAGAGTAAATAACTATAAATTGATAAATCATACCTGCTTTAAATCATTCTGTTCATTCATTAGGAAAGAGCAGGGTGGTCAGGGACCAGAGGAGGAAGGTAGCAGCACTCCTAGAGCTCTGGGAACATGGGAAGAGGCAGCAGCCACCTCAGTTCCCCAAATCCCCCCTGCTTGGCTGGCTCAACTTTGCTGCCCCTAGGCTTGAGCCTCAAATACTCTTCCCCCTTCCCCTGCTCTCACCTCTGGGGTTTGGGTAAGGGTTTGTTTGAGTAGCCTGTTATCTCCCTCCAACTGGCTTCTACACCAGTGAATGAGCAACTAATTGTTTAATTGATGAGTAATTAGACTGAAATGAGCAGCTAATTGCTTAATCGAGTCATTAGGCTATCCATTGTTTCCCTCTTTAACCCCTCTGCCCTCCATCTCTTTTTTTTTTTTCCCCACTGTCCAGTATCAGGGGTAAGGGTTCCCTGTTAGTTCCCTCTCTATAAATTTTGATTACTGATAGAAATATGTTTCCATCAGTCTGAGTGTGAAGTAAAATCACCATTTATTGGTGTTTATTGATAAAAATGGAATCCTGCCAGGCCTGGTCATAACCAATGTGTGCATTAGACAATGCTACCATCAGTATTCCCTGCTGTTGTATAGTTTCCTGCTCAGGGCACACAAAATGGTTTTATTTCAAAATTGCCATTACTTTCTGAAGCACCCCCTTATTTTGGGTTCTGATTTTGCATTGCTATCAAAAGCGTCCATATTAAGTTTACTTGCATTGGGATTGGACAATTGGAACAGGTTGTGTCACACCATTAAGAAGTAGGTAATATAAATATAATATGTACAGTGTAAATTAACTGATAGTAGTGTTAAGAGAATTACAAATTCAGAAACACTAAATATCACTAGCAGCTGGTTTATAAGGTAGTCTTCTTGGGCATTGGTAGACATGCTGTGGGAGTGGGGGGACTGCTTTAATTAGAGCAATTCTGAGGGTCTCTGTAATTAAAGTACCCAGAGTGTCATGTGTCTCAGTGTCCAGGCACTGAAAAATTGGGGCAGGGGTGCTTTTAACTGAAGCTCATGGAACAAGCTTTAGTTAAACTGCCTCCACCACCATTTTCAGCCCAGGGACTCTGATTCACAAGATACTGGACTCTGCCGGAGCATGGTAATTAATCAAGTCTGCTCTGACACATTGCAATTACAGCACATCAGAGCAGTCTTTCTACATGTATAGAGATGCCCCTTAAGATAATTTTGGGCAGTAGTTTATGTAGAGTTTGTTCAGGGTGCTAGAACAGTTTGGATATCTTTCTGGAGTCCTACAGTCTTAAGCTCTGTATAGGTACAGAGTCATTTGCCTGCAATCAGACTTTATGACCCAGGTCATGTCTTCTAGTCCCATGTAACTGATAACATTTGTATAGCATGCATTAATGCTTCACTAACTAGAATGAGAAAGAAGGGCGAGGAAGAGAATGGAGAATGGAGTTACTGTCTCTGGATTCACTGGGAATATTGGCCAGACATATTGACTTTGTTGTTTTTAACCACTTTCACAGAAATAAAGGAAATCAGGGATTCAGACTATGAGCAATGAAGCTGTGTCACTTTTGGGACTTTGGGGTTTTGAAACTACTGAAAACTAACAGTGGAAAAAAGTTGGTTAATAGGGAATTAGTTAGGCTATTTTTTGCCCCACCTGCCCCTTGTTCTGTCCATGTCTCCCACCCCACCCCCCTCCCCTGACCAGCCAACCCATATCCTACAAGCTGCTTTTATCAACTTTTGTCACTGCCGGAGCCAAGCAAGTACTTTGGGGGTGGGGGCGGAAAGAGGAAGAATGGGGCTAGTAGTCCCCAATCTCCCTTAGCCCTCCATGGATCCCATGAGCCTTCCCCTCCCCACCCCCAATCCCACCAGAATCTCCTGGACACCAGCAAGACCCTGTGGGTCACACCTGTCCCCATCTGCAGGTCGCACCTGTCTCCACACCAGCCCTCACGGGTCATGCCTGCCCCCCACCCCCTGGCAGACCCCTGATCCCCAGCAGCAAACTGGACCCCCAACCCCTCACTATCCCTCCCATTGTGACTTACCTGATATTGGGCAACCATTCTGAACCAATTTAACCTCCCCCTAATGCCCCCAAGTGTCTGTACTTAGCCCTGATGAACAAGCTGAAAGTAGCCTAAAGCAGTAAACAAGAGATACTTACATATGCCTCTTCATAAGTTGCCTAATACTGCTTTGTTCTCTTTCATTTGTAAAAAGCTCATCAGTGGATTTAACTTGGACCATCCAACTTCAGAAAGTTGGCTATAGCAGAAGGACCAGAATTAAGCATGCTGCAGTATTTATGAAGCTTTATTAAAAACAAAACATTTTACCTTCTAAAAGCTGGCACAGATACATTAAGTCAATGCACATTGTATCAAATGCCTGATTAGCAAGCACATTTGTTGATCCACACCTGCAGTAGTGACCAAGCATACTCTGAAAGTTAAGAGAGTTAATTATAACAAGTGCTTCTTGTACTTAGCTTGCTCTCTCATAAAGATAAGGGCCTTTAAAACAAAACAAAACTCTAACTCTTGCATTCATTACTGTGCTGTGGTTTATGTTGATGAATATTAGGGCTTTCTGGAGCTTGGTCAGGTGAAGCAGCATGATGAGGTACTGGCAGTTCAGGTTCTGGAGTATACTGATGTTTGCTGACAAAGTGATCAAGGAGGCGTTTTCTGGTTGCAGCAACTTCTTTTTCAAAGGACCATATTGTGCTTCTGCCAGTTTTACACTAAAAAAAATACCAAACCAAACCCAGAACGATCTTTAAGATATGCAAGCATGTAACAAACAAGTGATGCACCTAAGGTCAAAGTTGAAACTCCAACAAACAAACAAACCCCAACCCAACAACAACAACAAAAAACCCAACAAAACAAAACCACAACCCCCCCAAGCAAACAACCAACTCCCCAAAGTGTAGATTCCAAAAGAAATGTTAAAAGTATTCAGATTCCTGGTGAGTTGCCACACCCAGCCCTGGGAACACCAACCTTTTCTAGGCTTCTGGAAGGTCTGCATCAGGACATGTACATAATTATTTAATATAGTCCAGGCTGAGGCTTTTTATATGTGGGCCCTTGAGGCTCCAGAAGCTAGGTCTACCATGAGCTTGCTTGCCCAGGGGGCAAGCAAGCAATGTCTAATTGCTCAGGCACCACACAAAATATGGCTGGAGAAGGAGCAAGTACAGTTGTTGCTTGCCTTTTTATCAAGAGCTTCCTAAGCACCATGCTATGGGATATTCTGAAACAGCAGCATGTTCCATGCAAGTGAGACTTTCAGGAGGATTGAGACCAATGTAGATATTCATTGGGTCAAACCATTCTTCTAAAATGCAGGAGAGATAAAGGCTCAAATCGCCTTAAGACAGAGGAAATCGACTATCAGGTGGGAGATCTGGATTCAGTGCTCTAACCTCAACTATTGGGTAAGCAGGCCCCTGTTCATCGTTGACAGTACCAATACCTTCTTGGCTTTTAAAAGAAAGGAGATTGTGTGACAAGTTTTAATTCTAATTCTAACTCTTGGAGAGGGCTTAGAGCAGAGTCCAAAGTTGAAGAAAGCATCTTCCTGCAGTCCAGAATAAAGTGCTTAAGTTACGGTTAGTGGCTGGGATTTAACATACATTTCTCAGCATTTTCCATTGTCTGATTTTGGGACTCATGTTTGTGGTTCCATTCTAAGGCACTTATCTCCCCACAATGCATTGTTGCATACATAGTTTTCCCATACTTGGATATTACATGAAGTGCTGCAAAGCTGAGTGTTCTACCATCTGATCCTTACCTAGGCCTTAAAATATCACCCAAGAGGATGAGACTTGGAACTTCTAGATCTATAATTGCCCATTTTTCTCTGCTTACTGTGTTACAGCAGGGACAAAAGATAGGCTTTATTTTTATATCAGACTTTATATTTAGCTGGGCCTGGTGTTTGATGCATTATCAGTTCACATGGATACCCCCTTGCAATTTACGGCTCTCATTCTCAGTTTAAGCTAAAGCAATAGATTTAAAATAGTTTATCACAAGCTCTTACAAGGAAAGTCCTCAGTCGGTCCATCTCCAACAGGTAATACTCCTCCACTGTTAGATCATCAAAGCTCTTAGTTAGGGATAAGAAACCACAATTGCTAGGGCGTTTGGTATGTTCCAACCTGCAGTATGAATACAGTGTAAGAATTTCGTTCTGTGGATATTTGATCTCAGTATTAGAGAGAGGACAAAAGCAACTCTACCACAGATTACCTTTCAGTTTATCTCCAATCCAAAGAATATGGAACATGTTATAGGACTTAGAAAAACTTTGGGCTCCTCTGTCCATTTCCTTTTTGTCCTAAAGTAGCACAGATCAAAGTCCTGTTCCCTTCCCCTCCCCCCTTTGCCATCTCTTAATTAGACTTGTGATTTTTTTCTTCTTTTACCTGGTATTGGAGGAAGAGATAAAATGGGAGATTCTTATATGTAAATTAATGTTGCTCACTTCAAACACACAGCAGCTACATTTACTTCTGTCATTTTAGGTTATTCATGTAAACCTATTTTTTTTTTTTTTTTTTTTTGTGGCCAGAGTGAACGTTTCACAATAATTAAGAGAGAGACATGTGCACCACTAATTAAAGAGCTGGTATTGGACTTTAAGATTAGACAGGCTGAAAAACGTTGCCATTGTTCTTCCATTCTTATCAGTTTCATAATGTAAAGTATGAAGAAGAATATGGCCATACCATGGATCATCATTTGGCTCCCAGCCCTCTAGTTCGATCAGGCAAAAAAAACACTTTGCTACATCTGGTTCGTTTTCATTTGGACAGTGGATAAAACCAGCCTTGGCCATCTGCAGAGGAAAATTAGTTTAGTGACATGTAGGGCCCAGATGTAATGTGTCCATTACAAGTGTGAGTGACAGTAAATCCCACCCTAAAGAGTTTACAATCCCAGGTCTTGCACTTCATAAAGAGAGACTGGCACAATAGGAATTAAAATAGTAAGTATATCAAGCAGTCTGTAAATGGGGAAAACAGCTTAGGATCTACATTTAGCTAGAAGTGGCAAGTCCTGGATACCAGTCTCTGCTCCCAGGTTTATTTGATAATTATTTACTGTTAAATGCCTAAACACTAGGAAGAGTACAGAATGAAACCCAGAACTTTCTTGTCCCAGGTAAGTATCCTAACCTAATGATGAGCATAGCCTTTCTGCACTGTGGCCCAACTCTGCCAGGAAAAGTAAACCGTGGTTTGAGGTTAGCATAAAGTTTTTAGTTAAGTCAGTCTCCTGGAAGATGGAAAATACAAGTTCCCTTAGCTATAAACTAGCCCTTGCAAGTTCTTGGATGCCTGCTTTAATCACTAGGCTATTATGTAAAAGGTGAGCAATAACAGCCTTACCATCACCACTTCAAGGAGTGAAAGTGAGCCTGCTGCCATTCCTTGAAAGAACAGTGGGCACCTGCCTACTTTCAGGAGAGGATTCAAGACTCTGGACCCTGAGTGCATTGAGGTGCCTCAGTCCTAGGAAAGCAGCTGGAGTTCAGAGGCATCCTAGTGCTTACTGTTTGCTGCTAACAAGATTTAAACAGCTCTCTGCAGGATTTAGTTTCTCTGAGGCTCCTAACTCTTTTCATGGACTACATTGGAAACTTAGAAGCATAACTGGGTTCGATTTCATTCTAGGTATCAGGGACCTAAAATTTAGGTGTTGCAGTACTCAACCAGTAGGATCCTAGGACCTTATCTGGCTCTAGTCCATAGTATACCGAGACAAACAAACAGTCTCCTGCAAATATAGTTACTATGCCTAGGCAAATCTACAATTCAGGGAGGAAAGAGAAAGCTAGAGCTATTTGTAGTTCTTACTATGCTAAAATTGCTTCTAAGCAAGTTTCCCAGACCATTACACTTAACAGGGTAATTTCCAGAAAAGTAATGTTACATCCCAGCAGTAGGTGCAGTACAGCTGGGATAGGCATTACTAGGAAGTCTTTGGAGAATTAAAAAAAAAAGTGTTCAAGGCTCTTCTAAAAGAAACTTTGTTATAATCACAAGCAAGTTCCATCTTTGAGGCTATACAGAAGAAGGTACAATTATTCATAAGTAGTCTGAAGAACCATGCTGCTGGTCAAACCTCTGACCCCTGATTACATGTGTTTTATTCCCAATTCCTTCTCACCTCCTCAGATAACTCCTTCAAGTGTGCTTTATCTGAGGCACAGTCCTAGAGATGTAGACCTTATAAATATCAATTTAAAGCACTGAGTCATAATAGCTTACCATTTTATAGCATTGCCTGTGTTCAGAACATTATATGTACATTAATATTAAATGATTCAGTTTTGTGAAGTTAAGAAGTAGTGCTTGAATGCCTATAATAAATTGGTCTGACATTTTATCCACATACCATTTTCCTCTATTGTAGGAAAAGTGATATAGTGAATAATGACTAAAGTTTGAGATTTTCCAACACTGGGGAATGCATAGAAAACCCCCCCCTCCCACTGCTTTTATAGCCTCAAATTAACATATTGCCATGGTTCTGAGTAACACAAGCATATACACAGATAGCTATTTCAATAGTATGCCACTTGAAATTTAAGTCATTTAATGCTTTAGATTGCAAAACAAAGTTAACCTACAAGTACCATGGACTTCATATATTAGAGGAAAAAAGTTTTCTTCATCTTCTTATGCTTTGTAAGTTAGATTTCCTTTCAAAGTATACAAGAAAAAAAAGTCACTCATTTATATTCAACAGAGTATGGACATCGGTGTTAAAGCATTATTTTATTTTCTTGCCTTTGGAGGGTCTGTTGAAACTCCCAACTCCATTCTGACTTGCAAGTAGTTTGATAGCATAATAAGTGAAAGTAAAGTCTACCAGGAAAAGTGGTAGTCAGAGTATTTGGGAGCTGTACTAGAGCTTTACATAATCTCTTACTTTTTGCCTGAAAATAGTTCTTAGCTACAGCCCAAATTAAACATTTTCAAACTTACATTCTCAGGGGTGCATTTGCAGTTTCCCATAAAAGGCCAGTTTTTGAAGGTTTTTACACGATTTGCATAATCATACATATCCCTAAACTCAATCAAATGTTTGGATGCCAAACTAAGTTCTTTCAAGAAAGCCTCCATCTGCAAAGACTACTGCTGACTTACTATCACCTTAACCAATGCAGTGGTCATGCTTTGCTCCTCCCTGTCAGATTTAAGACACTTGATTAATTAGTTACATTGCTTCCACCTGCTTTAATTAAGAAAAAACACAGGTGAGTCTATGATAAGCAACAGAATCAGGAGGGATGGGGTCAGATGGGTGTTTTTCCCCCCCTCATTTGTTTCCTTCTCAGCACTCAGTCCAAGATATGTCTATTGAATGCAAAAGCCAAATTACGTATGTAAATACAGTGTAGAAGTTACAAATTTGATCATTAAAACATCAAGAAATATAAAAGTTAATACCCAAAATCTAATATTAGTTCAGTATAGCTATATATAGTAAACAGTTATATATTTAACAATCTAAACATTTTCAGAAACTTAAACTTTAAATTGCTGAGTTTGATGTTCAGTTTAACCCGTTAATAGAGCATTTTCAAAAGATTTTGCATTTCTCTTTTGACAGAAAAGGGGAAAATATAAGGTAAAAAAATCTAGTGCTTGTTTTTTAACTACACTGCTTCAGAGATGGGCAAAACTTCTTAGCATTGCTAGATATGCAAATCAACTGTGCCATGAAAAATTATGAAACTGAAAACCTGGCCATATTTTTTTCTGGGCATACCCAAAGTAAATGTTTATTATTCATATTTGTTTTCAAAATAACCACTAATGCTAGGATGCGAGTCCAAATCTATATTTAGACCCTGCTTATACTGATATATATATTTAATTTTATTGAGACTGTTTGTGGTATTAAAATGAAGCAGGGTCTAAGATCAAGGTCTTGTGCTTGGAGTCTGTAAGTGTTGCCTCACAGCCTGAACTCTTGTCTGCTCAAAACTGTTGACTTTGGGAGGACTCCAGTGGAGTGTAAGGGAATGCTACACAGATTCACTTTCTGGGTCAGGGTCAGTTTTGGCATCTGTGAAAGATATTTGATTGATAGTCCTAGCAAATCAAATCCTCTATTCATTATAGAGATAAAATAAGAACAGTAGCATTCTTGGCTTTCTACACCTGCCTGCCAATCTACTTCAACATTGACCTTTGGGGTCAAAGAAAAAAGGCAATTGCTCATTATCTAGGATTCCACTGGTCTTTTTTGCTGAGTCTTCCAACTTGGACCCTGATCCTTCTGAGATTTACATACATGGTTAACCTACTGAATTTAATAGGATTATTCCAATGCAGAATTCTAGGCACAAGAGAAATTTGTTTGACATTTATAGTAAAATATTAGGAAAGACATAGCTTAATGTTTAACACATGGATTCTTCATGGAATATGTTCTTTTTGTGTTTTGCATTTTGATTTTCTAGATTATCCCAATGGTGCAGGAATTTATTGTTGGCTATCTGCATCGTCCATTTATTGAGCCTCCTCCGTTTGATTTGTCTAAGGCATTTTCTGACAGTCACTGCTGTGCACCACTGATTTTTGTTCTGTCTCCTGGTTCTGACCCCATGGCTGCCCTACTCAAGTTTGCAGATGACCAGGTATAATAACATTCATAAATTTACATTAAGATATCATTCTTATATGTATGAATTAATAATTTTAAAACCAAAATTGTTAAGAATGTTCAACAAAACCTATGTAGTATTTGTCCAGCTTTAAAAAAAATCACTATACCAGTTTTTATGATCCTTTTCCACATGAAGCACTAATGAATGTCAGTAGATGCTTTTGTAGGAATGAAAAGTACATGTTTAGCTCTTTGTAAGAAATTTATATGTTCAATAATTCTTGCATCTTCTCTCTCTCTGTGATTTCAAGATTTGCTTAAATGGTTACTTTATGTTCAACATCTTCATCAGTGACTTGGACGAGGGGGTAAAAAGCACCCTGTTCAAATTTGCTGATGACACTAAGATGTGGGGGGATGTGGGCATGCTAGAAGGGAGGAATAGGCTACAATCGGACCTAGACAGGTTACAGGGGTGGGCGGATGAGAATAGGATGGGATTCAACACTGACAAGTGCAAAGTGATGCACCTGGGGAAGAACAACTGGCACCATACCTACAGGTTGGGGAACTCCCTTCTTGTCAGT